AAACATGAAGGGCACACTGAGTTATGGTCATCAACTTTTAAGGAACTATTTTGTGTTTCAGCTCCAGACTGACCTTCAAAAGATGGCTGGTTTGCTCAGCCGGTTTGGAGTTTCAGATCGCTACATATCGACTGTAATATAAAACAGCCGTGCACTCAAAAAGTCTCCAAAGACACAGTCTCCTTCAGCCTCCTCTCCCAGAAACAAACTCTCAAAGCTCTGGACACTTTCCCCTCAATCTTTCACAAATACAGAGATATACGCTCGTCCAGCAGCAAGCCCTGTGTGCACCTTCTCATTGTGGTTCCTTCTCCCCTGCCTTTTCACTGCTCAGAGAAAAGAGAGTAAAATCAACAGAAAAACAAACTACTTTTTAGAGCCAGGGTGTCTTTCCGCAGCACAGTCGTGCCACGCAGCAAAACAAATTCCAATTTGTGTAAGCGTGTGTTTTTGCTCCCCAGGGCACTACTAGCACTAGTACTAGTGTCTATGTGTTGGTATGTATAACTATGATACTGGCAACCCAAGGCTTCATACTATGACAGAAGGTTTGGGAACCACAGGGTGGGTTCCTCATGATTCTCTTCCACACCACCAGCAAGGAATACCATACTATGCCATCTAATTGCAAAAAAGCTTTAGCGCTTCTGCATGATTTTTACAAGCTTGCACAGTGTTTTTTTTTTTTCATGAATTCTTAATACTACTAATTCGGACAAGAGCAGTAGAAACAAAAAAGAAACAAACATACCCATGCATCTTCCACATTACTAATTTATAAAGGGCTTGGATCAGTGTTATTCTCTTTTATTTTCTCTGACGATGTGCAAGAGGAATTGTGCCTCTTTCTTATTTCCTCTAACTTCTGTTTTTTATGATCTCTATAAACAATGATCAAAACTGGTTAGCCATTAATGAGAAATTAATTAAAACTCGGTTTTCATTAAAGTATTAAACCCCAGAGATCATTGTTGGACCAGTCAATCTGATTAAATTAAAGCCTTATTTGCAAAACGAAATTTGAGAAATGTTACATGGTGAAGAGGAATAGATCCAAGAGGTCCTACTGAACATAATCATTAGACACTCCCCATCAACAGCATATGCACGCCTTGTCTTTGTCTCAAAGGACGATGTGGTCTGTATCCTTGCATTGATTACCAGAGCCCAAACACCATCAAATTCAGGTATACTAGAAGGATATGGTGCTTGCAGCAACTGATAAGGTCCAAACACTTCACAAGCTTGACCTTCATAGTGCCTTATAATTGCATTCAGATTTGAAAGGTAGATGAGTTGAAGATGGCTTTCTCAACTCCATCTGTATATTACGAATATGTAGTCATGCCTTTTGGTCTCACCCATTCCCCTTCTGTATTCTAGGGCGCATCTCATCTTTTACAGGTTAAAAAGAAAAAAAATTGTAGACAGCATCCTTGCTCAGTAAACCCAGAAGAGTGCATCCTTCATATCCAGCAAATACTGAATCAGCCATCTTCTTTGTATATGAAGGCCAAGAAATGCCTTTTTGCTCAGAGCACCATCTCTATGGAGAGGCAGAAGCTTAAGGCAATGTGGCTTTTGTCAAAATGGTAAAAGATTTTCAACAGTTCAGCATTGTGGCTGCTCTTCTCAGTGCCCTAATTAAAGGTAGACCACACACTTTCTACAGACTTTTGCTCCTTAAAGAAAAACTATTTACTTCAGTTCTTCTCTTGAAACTTCCAGACATCACACAGCCAATTATACAGAATTCAGAAGTAGATGTCGATAAATTTGGTAAGATGTTTCTTGAGCATGTTTTTGCAGGAAGCTGTCCTGTCTGAATGTAATTGCAGCACTGGCAATAGGGAACTCTTGGTGGTGAAGCTGGTAATAGAGAAGTAGAGGCAAACTGAGCTGTTTACAGTCCTCATGGACCACTACAACCTAGACTACATCTGGTCATCTGACATGAAGCTGTATTTTTTGTACTGGGGAAAACAACAAAACTGAAAATGTGGCATGAAAAAAGTAAACATCAAATAAAGTTTAACGTTCAGAGGCTGTAGTGCTCCTATAATTTTCCTTTTTCACAAATTTGTGACCACATGAGCAGATCTGAGTGTTTTAAGCCTTCCAATTTCTGCATGTAGGTGCAGGTTACATATGTAGGTGTGGGTTGCTGCTTCTTTTCTGACAGTTATCAATAGAAACAAGGCTCAGAGAGAAAAACAGAGAAACAACAACAAGAACAACAATGTTCAAGTCTATTGTGGTTTTAATATAAACGTGTCCTCAGCAAGAGAATTAACAATCCAGACAAGCCCTCATCTCTGTAAAACATAATAAGTAGGAAACAGAAAGGGAAATGAAAAAGTGAGAGTTAGGTCAGAGATAAATTAATTATACAGAGAGAAAAGGAAAAGAGGCGGCAAGGAATGAAAGAGAGACAAAACAAAAGTGTTTTTTGTCACTTGAGCTGTTCTATTGCATCTTTTGTGCTCTGTTTACTTTGGGAAGTATTACTAATGCAGTACACTTAAAACGTAACCTATCCCAGGTACCATTTTTATGGGGACAGAGTCAGTCTTATTATATCCTAAAGCTTATTATTTAGTAACTACATGGTAAACAAGGAAAATTGACTTAGTTATTCTTAAGTTATAAGAATGTGAAATGGAAGCCTGGATCTGTTGGTAAATACTGGCCATTTAAGAGGTTAAGATTTTGTCAGTTATGTTCTGGTTGGCTATCTGCATGTCAGATTTAATCTGTCTGATGGGAAACACAGTTTTGCAAACAGATTCCTTAAACCTATCCCAAAATGACTTAATGGTTGTGTCCAGCTTACCATGCGATAGATAGCCTAATAGGCTCCCTGGACAAACAATTGGTCACCTTGGGTGTTTAAGGTGGTTGTAACTTCAGGCTCCTGCGGAAGGTGGGCTATAAATACCTGCAGGGTGTGCAACGGGGTTCATAGATTGAGGAGAGGTGGTATAATGCAGTGATGTCTCGTTCAATGTGTGCAAAATGGGTCGCAAAGCAGATGTTAATGATTGGCAAAAAGGAGTGATTGCATTTGGGCGTGCCAAAGGGAAGGAAGTAGCTGAATTTGTAGGTGTATGAAAGTGTACGGTCAAACGGGTCTACATGCAGTGGCCAAAAACCCAATCCATAGGAAATTCTTGTCAGAATTGTGGCTGAAAGATGAATCTGATGGACAGGGACCGCTGGTGTGTTTCATGGCTTGTGAATAAAAAATGCTTCACTTCCAGGAAAGAATTGCTTCTAGACGTCAACAAAAGTCCTTCACAACCAATTTCTGAAAGAACACTTCATAACATGAACATATGGAGCAGAGTGGCATGCAAAAGACCTTTGCTCACTTCTGCTTATAGAGCTGCCTGGTTACAGTGCGTGAAGAAACACAAACGTTGAACTGTTCATGACTGGAAATATGGCCCGATAAATCTCGGTTCTGCCTCTATGTGATTGATGCTAGGTGTCATGTTCATCGTAGACCTCAGGAAGCCTCCAATGAGGACTGCATGCAAGGTGTTGTTCAAACTGGAGGAGCTCTGAGATGTTCTGGGGGTGTTTTAATTATGTAGAAATCGGTCCTTTTGTTGAGGTGACAGAACATTTAAACCTCAGTGCCTACATTGAGCTGCTGGACAACCAGGTTTTGCCTTTTGCTCATCATCTTATCAAGAATGTAATATTCCTATGCCTGTATTCCGAAATGACAATCTCACGTTCACAAGGCTGCAAATGTGACGGATTGGCATGATGAACATTCAGGAGCATTCACACGCGTGGACTGGCCCACAAAATCCCCAGATTTAAATCCTCTTGAAATTCTGTGGGACTACCTGGAACAACAAATAAGACGCCAGGAAAGGCATCTACGAAGTCTGGTCGAAATGCGCAATTCTTTGATGCAAGTGTGGCTGAACACTGATGTCGCCTACACCCAGAAACATGTTCAGTCCATGCCAATCGAATCACAGCTGTTATTCGTGTTTGTGGAGGTATTACGCATTCTTAGGTACATTTCAGTCACAGGTGACTACATTTTTGTCTGGTGAGCTTACAAACCAGTACAGTGTTAAACGGCATTGATAACAGCTGAAACTCAAGTGGGAATTTTTTCACTGCTTAAAGTACTGGAACATCTGGCACAAGAAGGGTGGAGTTGTGCTTATTCAATTAGCCATCTGTCCAAAGCTGCAAGTTCCAATTCTGTGTTTTTGGTACCTGCTCAAAATTGATATCAACAAGACCTAATGGTTCATCTCTGTGATCCAGGCGAAGATAATGTCACCAAGCACTATAACCTGATCAATCAGTAAACCAGACATACATTAGGATTAAATTTTATTATGTCAATTATTACTTTGTAAGGAGTTTGACAGGGTAAGCTAGTTAGGAAGCCATCACTAACACTATTACCATTTATGCTAGCCTCCGCAGACCACACGGTTTAGGTCATTCGGCAGAGAAAAAATTTAAGCTTTGCTCGATGATTCTGCATATGATTCTATGTAATGTTAAGCTAACTATAAATAGCTAGCAAGATAGCTAATTAGCCAAATTAAACACTTTATAGAGACATGAAATGACCAAAAAGAAAATATAATTGTTAATCGCTGTTACTATGATTGTTCCGGCGGTCTCTCAAACATATGGAGATTCTTCCAAAGTTTCAGTTTCAGTTTCAGTACTGGTAAAGAAGAAGTACCATGCACCATCTCTATCTGTGAACATATCCACCCGTGTGCCAAGCTGAGTGCTGGTAGTTCTCTGCAACTACCAATTTCATGTCAGTCAGTTTATGTCTATACATCATGCCTGGTCAGCAATTTGTTCCAAAGGACAGTGAAATGAACAATGAGGCCTAGAATAGAAAAGATGCCAGCTAGCCAGCTAGTTAGTCAGCATCAGCCAGCAGTGCTTGTCCATTCCATATGAGGGACAGTGACAGAGAAGAAAGATAGAGAGAAAATGGAACTCACTGGTGGCATTAGTTAGACTGAAGGTGACTGAGCTGTCCGGGATGTCGCACACATTGCGTACGGACACTTGACAGGTGTAGTTAGCAAAGTCCTGAGGCCGCAGGTTCTTCAGCTTTAGCACCTTAGTCTCACCCTGTAACCACACACACACAAAGACACAAATCAGGTTTCAATGCACAGCGTAAGCATAAAAGTACCACACATTTAACAAGTGTGAAATAACACTAGCATCTCAAACACTGTGTTAGTAAGAACCTTCTTTTAACAACAGCAGTGGATATAGCAGCTGGGAGGAGGCAGTGGCCTCAAAGACGCCCTAAGCATTTACCAAAGGAATAACACTATTTCCACATAATAACAAAATTTCAACTCTTAGAACTCCTCAGAAGATTACCTAGTGACTCTATGGCACTGACCATCTTTGGTATTTCCCAAACTCCCTTTTTTTTAAATGGTGTCCCTGTAGAGTGTTTTGGAGGCAAAGAATTTATTAACACCTCTATTTTCTTTTTTGTCTCAGCCCTGTTGATGGTATTTCTATTTCTCTGCTATTTTTAAATCCGGTGTCTCAAAAGGCATAGCGCAATTATAAGATGATCGTATGCATAGTTTGCACAATTAGCTACAGCCTTTGTGAACTAAATGTTAAATTTAGACACACTGAGAGCTCATATTGTTGCTGCACCTTTCACATTTTGCAATTTTCAGGTGAGTACATCTGGCCCAGAGGAAGAGAAAGAAAAATAAGACCAAGAAAAAAAAAATCCTAGTCAATGTATCTGAAAGAGAGAGCGAAAGAGACTCTTAAAGGTTTTATGAATATCAGTCATTTTGCAGAGTCCATCAGCAGTATGAATCATTGTCATTAGGGTGATGTATTACAAAGTCATCATCTAAGTCGCTCGTTCTCCTCCCATCTCTTTCTCTTTATGCAAAGTGGACTTTAATAATGGCTTTCAGATCATGAGTTCATCACTCATTTCCTATGTCTTCTTGCTGCTTGTTCCAGGACTTTAGTGTGCAGGACTTTTGTTCTAAAACAGTCGCCAAGCTTCATGTCCAGTGACTCACTAACTGCCTGTGGTGTTTAACCCTTTCATGACAATGCAAAAGAAGTGCCTTTTATCTACTCTTCCCCTTTAAGAGTTGTTGTTTTCACATGTATTATAATATCTAATGTCAAACGTTCATAGACTTTTCTTTGGTGTTACAAACTACCGCTTCGAACAAGCAAACAAATGAATGGGAATATTCATATGGCATATTTGTACAGTATTCACATTTATGTTAATAGGAGTTAAACAGGACTTCTTCAAAAGAGGGCACAGTTATGGGTGGGCCTTGGGGGCCTAAGTCTGCTCACTTGAAAGTCAGTGCCCCTGCATAAATGCTTGTAAATGTCAAAAAATGTAAAACTCTTTACAATAGCGATTATTTTTTCAATGTCCACTTAAATATCCCCCAACAAAGAATTTAGGAAAGTTATATAAAGTAAAGGCAAAACTTAAGTCCAAATTTCACTTAAAATGTTTTATGCAACTCACTATCAGCCCCAGTTTTCTAATTATTAATAAAATGCTCTCCGATGCCAATGAAAATATTACAAAATGTAAGGTTGTCAGGTGCAAAGGCGCAGCTCTGTTTCGCATTCTCATGACTTAAAATATAAAATAAGACTAAAGAGTAAAGCTCTCCTTGGATCATGACCAATTTTACCATATGCTATCACCATGGCAATGATTACACAGCTGCATACGACTGTAAGTCACTCAAAAAGGGCTAGAAAAGACCTTTTTTTGGAGCAACATGTAAACATAGCATTAGCTTTTTCCACTAAAAACCTGAGAGCTGTGGTTTATATAGGCTACTTTCCTAGTTAGTGAGTGGTAGTACTAGACCAAAGTAGTTTTGAAGTACATTACTCTGATTAGATATTCTATCTAAATCATAAAACACTGAGAAAACTGCGGTCTTTAATTAGACATTCACCTTAGACATTTCCATCTAGTGCTGTGAAAGGTAGGACTCTGGTTAATTAACCTTTAACTGCCACGGTATGCTGTCAGTTGTTATAGAAATGAGCCAACTTAAATGTGAGGTAAGCAATGGTGTGTTGTGTTTAATATTCAACAGTGGTTGGGTAGTTTAATTTACTAGTTAAACTGTCATGAAGTAGGCTAGTTGGTTGTCATCAGCTTCACTACAGCAAGGTCTTGGTCTCTTTGTGCTTGCTAGTGCCCGCCCTCCCCCCGTCCCAAACTGTAACAAACCCCCCCAACACTGCGACCACCACCACCACCAGCAATACCCCTCCACCCCAAAAAGATTTAAATCCTGGCTGCTCCAAAACTACTGTTCTACTGTATTTTTATGCATCTCTAAAGATACGTTTGTTGCGACAGGGTTCAATTAAAAGGCTAGTGGTAAGTGCGCACATCATGTTCCGCTATAGAGGAAGTGTGACTGAATCTCTCACTGCGTTTCGAAGAAACGATGATTTCCATGATTCTGACTGTTTCAGTTACAAGAGAGCACTGATGTTTAGCAATGACGTTCTGAATTGTTCAGACAGTTTAAGAACAAGCTTGGCTGCTCTATGAGACCTTAACCAAAGTACATCATCTTTAGAATGGCAACCAAGGGAACTGAGTGTATTGGCTTTCAAACCGTAAGACATAAAACATCTCCGTTACAGAGACTGCACGCGGCTTGTGTAATGGGTATTTGAGGATATGCTCGGAAATAATAGACTATGAACATGCCGAATGCTTTGTGTTTTCACAAAGGCAGACTGAAGGGGCTTTTTTCAAGCTCCAGTTTCAACGGACCTTCAGCTCCCTTAGCTGCTATCATAAATTTTGCTTTCTTGGATATTTTTCCTAAAAGGACGTATTTCAGGACAAGTTTCTTTATGTATTTATTGTATGTCAAACAGGTGAAATGACACCTCAGTAAGCTTTATTCACAATAAGCTTTTCTGAGCACATTGTGAGCAGAGATGTCACATTATCACAGTTCTGACAGTTGATACCAATACCAGTGAAATCTGAAGATACTCTGTACCAAATCAACTACACTGCAAAGGCAGAAACATCCATTATTTAAAAACTATAACCCACATCCCACAATGACCAGCCATTCAATTAATAAGCTGTTTTAATGTGGCTGTTTTTCCTAGTGCATTACACTGACAAAAAAATAAACATTGTTACACATATAAAAAAAATGTTTTTACATATTGTACTATTATAATTTTGCCCTATTATTATTGCCCATTATTGTGTGAGTGTGTAAATTACCTGCGTGTATAAAGGTTCATAGATGTCCACGCCGTTGTCTTTACTCTGTTCAATAGGTGTGTTGCCACGTTTCCAGATAAATCTAGCTGGTGGATTGGAGTTGACAGTACAGCGCAGAAACACCGTCTTCTCCTGGTAGTAGTTACCCCGCACATCACTGATGGTCTGGTGTACTGTGAGAACAGGTTTATCCAAATCTGGAACATAGACCCAAACACACACACACATGTAAGTTGTGACTTAAGAAATTCTCCTACTTCACACAGCACATGATAAAACTCTACACACCCTGTTAATGTCTTAATCCAACATTTTATATTAAGAGTTTAAGAACAATGGGCCTCATTCTCCAACCGTTCTTAGGAAGAAGTTTCTTCTTAAAACCCATTTATGCAGTTTTCACGATGATTCTGACATTCACCAGTGTTTTCATATTTGGGATATTTTCCTAAGTGAGAACAGAATCTACACACACTCAAGAGCAAAAATATTTCAACAGTTTCGCAGTGTAAGAATTTGGCATGCATCTGGCGAAGACTTTTTCTTAGGACCTTTCTCAAGAACAAATTTAAGAGAAAACTTTGGAAGATATTGAAGAATGAGGCCCATTGTTCCTCAACAAGCAATTTCAAGGATGTTAGGAATTTCATCCTCTATGAAATGCATAATACCATCACATAATTCAGGAAAATTTGGAGAAATCTCATGCATAAAGGACAAGGCTGAAAACTCAACTGAGTGCATCCCTCAGATGGCATTGCATTAAAACCCAGCACGCAATACTTTGACAATCATTTGTTGCATCTACGAAAGAAAAGGACCATCCAGACTGTTACCAGCATAAAGTTTAAAAGCCAGGGTCTGTCATGATATGGGGGTGTCATGTTTTTTTGTACTGTTTTAGGTTTAATACAAGTCAAACAGAATTTCCTAATCACTGCTTTATGTTCTCTTAGCATTTTACAAACAAATTCAGGTTTGTAGTTATGTGATTAACAACTTTCCTGCTACTTTTACTACTCACACTGCCAAAGCACACATTTACAGCTCCAGGGTTTTGGCAGACACATTTCACATTTTGTGAAGCATTAAAAAGCTTGTTTCACTGCTATAAAATGATATTTTGACAAGGGAAATCATTGCGAAAGTATTATAAGATTAGTTTACTTACTTACAGATATGTTTTACTTGTTTTAAGTAATTTTGTCAAATGAAATAGTACTTTTGTCACTATATTGACAGAAATGTTGCTTGTTTAATCTTAGAGTATTCTGCAATCTCAGAATGAGAAATATTAGATATATTGACAAGTTTTAAGATGAGTTCAGTTGCTAAGATATCACAAAGTCATGTGAAAAAGTCATGTATGAACAAAATTCAAAGCTATATGTATTGGTCATACTTTAAACCCCAACACAACAACTAACAGCACAGATCAGTCAAATAAACCAGATTACAATACAATGTGTGACTACATGTGCACGCTTGTCTCTGGATTTGTTTGTTTACGGGTGTGCATGAGAGGGCCGGGTGGCTGGACGTGTTTGTATGCTTGTACTTATGTCTGTGTTGAGGTATGTGTGTAGGTTTTGGATGAGTGTAGGTGTGTGTTTGTTATGTGGGTGTGAATTAAGTAAAATTCTGTGTAATTCTAAATCCCACAGCTCAGGGAAAATGCAGTCTGGGCAGAGACGTGCAGTTTAAGAGAAGGACAGACGAGCACAGCTAAACAACTTTCTCTCTCTTCCCTCTTTCATTCCCTCCTTTCCATCCATCCATCCATCCTCATCTTCGTCTACCCCTCTTTCTTTGGGGTGACAGTGAGTTGACATGCTAAAACCTCTCTACCAACCCCTGAGACAGTAAACATCTCTCTCCACCTAAATTCACTGGCCCTAAATATCCCCCCACCACGTAAATCTGTGTATACAAGTGTCATTCAGAATGACGGCCACGTCAGATATAGCGGACAGCCTCAATCTTGATCAAAACAAAGTGCGTGTACAGTAGAAATATTCAGCCTGACCAGGCATCCTGTTTCAACCAGGCAACCAGGCTACTGGCACCGGTATTTGAAATAACCACAGCCAAAAATGCAACCGTTCAATCATATTTATTTTTGCACATTGGAACATAATAGGCACAAAATTGCCCCCAAGATAATAGGCTATGAACACAGACACCAAATACATGGAGGTTTTGGGTCCTTGGCCCCCTCCAAAATTAAAGATGGGGGTTAATGCACTGCCAATCCTAGCGCAAAGCTTAAGAAAGGCCATAGTAATAAAGCCACACAGAACAGTTTGAAAACAGCTGCTACATTTGGAACACAGTAGGGATTTTAACCATGCAGGGGCGCTATGGCAGCCAGAAAACTGTTTTCTGCATACATATCTTACATAAAATGTACTGCAGCTTCTGAAAAAAAGGTTTGATACTTTGATTGCAGAAAGTAGATAATGAAAATAAAATGTCTTATGAATGTATTTTAATCTTAGTGCAGAGTAGCAGAAGAGTGTGGTGCATTTGGTGGTGCATCACTAATAGCCAGCTTAAGACCACAGCCTTTTTTTAAACTTGAAGGTGGGCATGTAATATCACAGAAAGAGATCAACACGGGCAACTTTTAATTAAAAGACAGCTTTAGAAAGGATAATAAGTGCATTCATGAGTAATACAAGCTGACAGAAGATTTGTTAGATGTAGAGAGATTATATAAAAAAAAGGTCTTACACCCTTTTTTAAACATTTAGGTTTGGAAACACATTTTAGCTGACTTGCTTTTTGTGTCTAAACATAAATATATTCACTCATTACGTCCCTCCCCAAAACTAAACGCCTGTCATTAGATTCAGACACAAGTTCAAAATGTTTAACCCAAGTCTGTGCCCATGGATATACATGCAATAAATCAATGTGAATGAACATAACTATCACATTAATGTGACACTTCATACATCACTTCACCCTCTAATCTTGACCAGGCAGGATGAATGTGCTTATCTGTAGATAAAACAGACAGCTACGCTACATGAGAAGCAGCTGGAGATGATGATCACAGCCTAAAACTGCTAACGTCTAACAAGTCATTCTACTGTTGATAAATGTAAGATCTATTGGCTAAAGATTAGACATGTTAGCTGAAATATTATTCATACGTGATTAGTTTTACATGGTGGAGGTGGGGTAGTGCAATTATTATCAGTGTTTCTAAGTGCTTTTAATCCCATCCAAATCTGAGATGTACTACCCTGAGCTCCAGAACGTAGTAGTAACCATAGCAGCTATATTTATTCTGCATACATATAAATATATATATATATATATATAATATATATATATATATATATATATATATATATATGATCTAGTGTGAACTGGCATGTAGGTAAATATTCCAACAACATGATTTGACACAAAATGATTTTAGGCGGTCATATTGACTGTTGGGTGTAAATCCCCATGCTAACGACAAAGCTAAAAAATATTAAAAGATAATAAATATTAAAAATAAATTACGATTAAATTAAACATTTGGGCATGTTTTCTGGTGGGAGAAGCCAAATATGTTGCATTTGGAACTTCTTTGGTATGATAGCAATGTGGAAATCAAGTTGCCATTGTCATCTATGTAATTTATACCAATATTTCTTTTAAAAGATGAAATTACATTACAGTCACCTGGGTGTAAAATTACATTACCTTGCCTGCCCATGTAAAACGAATCCAATCCAGCAAGGACTAGCTACGTAACAACGTCAGCTAGCTTGCTAGCAAGGCTGACTAGCCAACCAAAACATATTTTATCCTGCCTCTCAATTAGACCTTTACTTTTTCTCACTCTTTGCTCATACTGCATATGGGTCGCCTTTGATAACAACCAGTTCAACTTTTGCCATCCCCTGTAAACAGACAATAACTGTTTCTGCTGTATTAATTGCATGAAAAATGCAATGTTACTGTGTAAATTCCACAAAAATGCCCAATGTGTGTATAAAATGCCCTTGAATTTCTGTCAAAGAGTGGAAAAATCGCCCCTTGGATTGACATGTATATTTCAAACACCAAAACACACTCAAAAGACAAAAAATAAAAGCAAAGCATAAAGCCCTGCTTGGGGCTGAGTGTAGAACATTAGAGTATCTCTCCTGGGTAGTGATCAAACAGTGGCCTGCTTGAAACTCTGGGGCCCATGGAGTCCATGCTGGGCTTACTTCACAGGGACCCTGAATCCCAGTGTCCATGGATACAGCAGAGGACATATGACCATTGCCCCACTGCATACAATCACACAAGTAAGCATTCTCTTTCTGGTCCAAAATAGCTGTGAATTTGTTTAGCTCTGTAAGGTTCTCGCCCAGCCTCTAGAGAAGCTCTACTCCCACCACAAGCTGGCAGTTGCAAACAGGATCTGTATGTCAAAGATCTGTACTACTAGGTGTGGGTTCGTTCTCTTCTGATGCCTGCTGTGTTTCAAGTTGGCCACTGCTGGGTGTACCATATGGTCAGTAATTGAGCAGTGGCAAGCAACCTCTGTTTAAGCGATAACAAAGGTCCAAGGTAAGCTGGAAGGCATGGTATCGGGCCGTTCTCAGCAGAAAATGCTGGATCAGATATCAGAGGGGAAAGAATGTGAAAAGAATTATTTTCTCTTTAATTTTTATGGGTGTAAACACCTTGATAAACCGAAATAAACGTATTAATTACAATTACAATTATATTAGCTGTGTATGTTTTTCTGTGGGTTGCAGAGTGGTTGAGTAGTTTACATATGATACTTTTACAAACTTATCCGAAGTCCTTCAATTAACCCCTTAAAAGGCCCAAATTTTTTATTACACACTTCTATAACCTAGGAATAGGTCAACCAGTTTGCATTGAAGTCTCTGTAGTTACTGAACAATAAGTCTTAGTATGTAATAAGCCTGGGATTTAAGGGGTTGTTTGAAGGACTTAAAAACACATATCTTTAAAAATGAACTACTCTTAAATAATATCACATCTTGTCGCAGGTATGAGCTGATCTTGAGCATTCTGTTGCTTTGATAAAATTGCTCTGCAAAATAAAGAAAAAAGTAAAGCAAAGAAGACCTGAACATTGTATTTACTCCACACCTTTTATGCCAAAAAAGTACCATTTTGCTGTACATACAGCACCATAAAACTGTAGCAATATCAGGTTCAGCTCTGCTTTTTC